TCTTTCCCTCTCTGGTCAAATTAAACAAACAAACAAACAAACAAACAAAAAACAGTAAGGAAATAAAGTTAAATAAAATAATTCTTTCTTAAAAATGATCCAAATGGATATAGCATATTTTATTTAACTATCTCCACACTGCTAGACATCTATAAATTGTCTCTAATATTTTTGCTACTATAAATGACAGTGTGAAAGAACATCTTTGTGGGTTTTTTTTAATATATTTTGAACTATTTCCTTGTGCACCATTCTTAGAGTATTACCATACCTGCAGCAATTTTTGTTGTTGCTGTTGTATTTTAGATTTTTCCCATAAGGTACATGCACGTGGCAGAAAGCTATAGAGAGGGAAGGTGAGAAATCATACCCGAGGGTGGGGAGGGCACACTGCAATCCCTCCTCCTTCATTCTTCTCTTGGGAGTTTGTACATGCATGCACACATGCACCCAGCATGATTTTCAAGCCACCAAGTCCAGAATTCAAACCACGGTCAGCCATGTAGGGATCCAGCACCTTAACCATCACACTACTTGCTGGCACTGCTGCAGCTCTTTTTATATATTATTCAACTATTTTGAAAAAGGTCTCTATTACATTTTTGGAAGGAAACATGAGGATATCTCTTGATTTTTTAATGATCATACCCACTAGCCTACAAAATCTGCTTGTAAAAATTATCCTATCGCTATACTCTCAAAGCAGGGCGGTGGGAGAGGCTGGATAAGGAGATGTTGGTTAACAGGTTACAGGGTTTCTCTATGCAGTAATGCAAATATTCCAGAATTACATTGTTGTTACAGTTTAGATAATGGTTTGTTCCCAGAGGTTCATGTTTTGGAAACTAGTCCCAAATATAACAGTGTGAGAGGAAGTGATGGCAAGTGGGTGGTGACTGGATCATGGTCACGGGATCATAGAGGCACCAGTCTTGTGAATGGATTAATGGTGTCTTGTGAAAGACTGGATGAGTTCTAATTCTCATAAGAAGGGATTAAGCCTCATGACAGTGGGTTGTTACTGTGTGTACCCACCATCCTCTCAGCTTCTGTCAGGCATGTTGTAGCCAGCTGGATGCCAGCTGCGTGGCACTGTACTTTCCACACAGGAATAATGAGTCAAAGAAACCTCTATTGTTTTATTCTTTTTTTTTTTATGTTTGTTATAGGGTGTGTGTGCTTGCCAGAGAGAGACAGAGACAGAAAGAGAGGAAAAATGAAAAATCACTCCCCAAGGGGATGGCCATGCCACAGTACCTTCTCCTCCATTCTCCTTTCAAGATTTTGGGCAGGACTCCCACGTAGTCGACCGCGGTTCGCGTCCCAGACCCGATGGCTTAAAACTCACGCTGGGCGCATGTGCGTGCGTGCCTAAGATATCCTGAGAGGAGAATGAAGGAAAAGGGATTGTGGCGTGGCCATCCCCCCTGGGGAGTGATTTCTCGCTTTCTGTCTCTATGTCTCTGTCTGTCTGTCTGGCGAGCACATGCGCCCTATAGCGAAAACCTCTCCAAAAAAAAAAAAATTGGGGTCATGCATGCACATATGTCAGGCATGTTTTTCAAGCTACCGGGTCCAGGACTTGAACTGTTCAGTTGGCTATGTGGGGTCCAGCCATCTTAACCTCCATGCCATCTGCTAGCCCCAAACCTCTATTCTTTATAAATCACTCAGTCTCAGGTATCTCTAATAGCAATGTAATAACAGACTAAGATAACAATGATGGTTGTGATGGTTATACAACATTCTGAATGTACTGAAAGCCTCTTCACCGTACCATTTACAACAGTTAAATGTGAATTTAGGGTTGATGTCATATCTCAGCAGTTAATCCACTAAGATAATGAACACTTACAACTAATGAGCACTTATTAATAAGATGATCAAGTAGAATAATAATTGTCTAGAATAGAGAATCGATGCTAATGGTATGCAAATGCCTGTAACTTATTCTCTTCACTAGTGCTGGTGATCTCACACATACCTATGTACTGAAAAACAACCATCTTTGTACCTTCATTTTTATAGAACTCAAAAGTTGCAATCATGCTATCCATTTCTTCCACCCGTCAGATAATCTATAACTTTCATTTTATACCTTCTGTCATTGAAGGTGCTCACTTTCAGTGCGAATATTAGTATAACCTTTGGGTTTTAGTTCTTAAATTTATATTACTTGTACACAGCTGTAAAAAATTCTGGCAAAAAATATGGCAGGGGGGGGGACATCTACAAACAGTGCATTCACAAAAAAAAAGGTTCAGGGAACCAGCAGTTAGAGTAATGGCTATGTCGCTGGACTCCCACATAGTTGACCGGGGTTCGCATCCCGGACCTGGTGGCTTAAAACTCACGCTGGGCGCATGTGCGTGAGTGCCCAAGATCCTGAGAGGAGAACTGAGGAGAAGGGTTTGCAGCATGACCTTCCCCCTGGGGGGTGATTTCTTGCTTTCTGTCTCTATGTCTCTCTCTGTCTGGCGAACACACGCGCCCTATAGCAAAAATCTCTCCAAAAAAAAAAAAAAAGGTTTGAACTTTTGTATTTTTTTTCTTTTTTGGAGAGGTTTTCGCTATAGGGCACGTGCGCTCACCAGACAGAGAGAGACAGAGAGACAGAGAGGCAGAAAGCGAGAAATCACCCCCCATGGGGGATGGCCACGCCGCAATCCCTTCTCCTCTCGAGATCTTGGGCATGCACGTACACGCGCCCGGCGTGAGTTTTAAGCCACCTGGTCCAGGCCGTGAACCGTGGTCAACTACATGGGAGTCCAGCGACATAGCCATTAGACTAACTGCTGGTCCCAAACTTTTGTATATTTTCATACACCACTTTAAAGAATTCATTTTATATCTCAGAAAGGATAATCTTCCACTTCGCAGTAAAATAACAGGAGAAATCAGGTTACACAAATCAGAGCCAATGAGTTATGACTCCTTTATAGTCAACAAAGTGGAAATTAACAAAAGAAATTTAAAAAAAAAGAAAATGTCAGGTCAACTGGCAACACGGTGGTTAAGGTAACTGGATCCTCCACACCCGACTGGACAGTTCGAGCCCTTGACCCAGCAACTTAAAATTTAACATGCTGGGTACATGTGTGTGCGTACCCAAAATCTCAAGAGGAGAATGAAAGAGAAGGAATTGTGGTGTGGCCATCCCCTCCGGGGTGTCATATCACTTTCTCTCTCTGTATCACTCTGGTGAGCACACATGCCTTGTAGTGATTTTTTTTTAAAGGAGAGAGAAAATGTAAAGGGGTCTTACTTCTCTTTCACAGAAAGTTCCGCTATGAAGTAAAGTCAACTGTTTATGGAGGTTAGACACTTGCTTAGTAAGAGTGCATAAGCAAGATTAAGCTCCTCAGAGGTGCAGAAGACCCATTCTGCTACCTGCAAAAACCTCAAAATGACATGTGTAGTAATTTCTTTTTTTTTGGAGAGATTTTCGCTATAAGGCGCATGCGCTCGCCAGACAGACAGAGAGCGACATTAGAGACAGAAAGCGAGAAATCACTCCCCAGGGGGGATGGCCATGCCACAATCCCTTCTCCTCCATTCTCATCTCGGGATCTTGGGCACGCACGCACACGCACCCAGCGTGAGTTCAAGCCAACGGTTCTGGGACGTGAACCGTGGTCGACTATGTGGGAGTCCAGCGACATAGCCATTACCCTAACTGCTGGTTCCCTGTAGTAATTTCTATAATCAGATAAAAGATGGTACTCATTTGATATTTGCCTTGAATAATTAAAAATTACTAACACTTCTATGGGGCCAGCAGGTGTCATGGAGATTAAGGTGCTGGATCCCACATGGCTGGCTATGCTGTTTGAGTCCTGGATGTGATGCCTTGAAAATCATGCTGGGTACATGTGTGTGCCTGGCCAAAATCCAGAGAGGAGTCTGAAAGAGGAATTGCAACATGCCCATCCTCCTGTGGAATGATTGCTCGCTTTCCCCTTCTCTCTGGTGAGTACACATGCCATATAGCAAAAACTTTAAAAAAAAAGAAGTATATTAACACTTCTAAAAATTAAAAATGTTTATAAAATGATTATGTTACATAAGAGAAGCACGAATTAAAGTATGATGAGATCTCAATGGCCAAGTTGGCAAAAACATAAAAATCTGACAAACATTCTGTTGGTGAAGATGTGAGGAAACAGACACTCCCATAATATGGTAATAAAGTGTCAAGTGGTATAATCCCTTTGACAGGCAATTTAGCAATGTTAAACAAAATTTTCAAATATATTTGCCCTTAACCCACCAATCTCACCGCTGAGAATCTATTCTATCAATATACCTGGGCATCCACAAAATGAAGTCAGCTAATCACTGCAGCATCGTTTTGGGAAAGCAATGAACTGACAACCCTTCCAGTGTGCAGCAATAAGAGACTGAGAGAATAAGCCACAGTGCAGTTCACAAAGAGAATAAATTTACTTATATAACAAAACATATATAGTAGTCTACTTTTAAAATAAGAAAGGAGGACCAGCCCCATAGTTTAGTGGTTAAAGGAGCTGGATTCCACACAGCCAACCAAGGTTCATATCCCATCCCCAGCAGCTTGAATAATGTGCCAGGTACATGTGTGACCACACCCAAAATCCTGATGGGACAGAGAAAAGGAAAAGGGATTGCAGTGTGGCCATGCCCTATTGAGGGGACATTTTCCCTCTCTGGTGAGTGCAAATCCTCAGACATATTTTTTAAAAGATGAAAATAAGAAACGAGAGCTAAATATTTATTCATAATTATACTTGCATTTGGATAAAAAAATATTAGGAAATGTACAAAATTACTATAAATGGCTGTCTATATGGGGCTGGGGGCATAAGTAGATGAGGATAGGAGTAAGAAAATGGCTTTTTTGGGTATAACTTTTTTGTACAGTTTTGATTTTGTACCATGAATATGTTATCTGTTCAAAAATTAAATCTTATTATAAAATATAAGGTGTTCATGTGAAAATGTTAAAACAAAAATACAAAGTTATATGACACTACAATCTATATGAAAATATCATATGCAGAAAAAGAGAAAAAGGAAATACCCTAGAATGTTTACAGTAATTGTCTTTAGGTGGTGGGAGTACCTATCATTTTTGTCCTTCCTTTATCTTCTCCACATTTTTAAAGATATCTATAAAGTATATATTTCTTCAAGAGGAAAAAAGAGGGACCAGCAGTTGGCGTAATGGCTATGTCGCTGGACTCCCATGTAGTCGACTGCAGTTCAAGTCCCAGACCTGGTGGCTTTTTATCAGGTGCGTGTGTGAGATCCCTAGAGGAGAACAGAGGAGAAGGGATTGTGGCGTGGCCATCACCCCTGGCGGGGGGCGGGGGGGGACAGTGATTTCTCGCTTTCTGTCTCTCTGTGTCTCTCTGTCTTTCTGGCGAGCGCATGCGTCCCATAGGGGAAAAAAAAAAGAGGAAAAAAGAATGTCATTCTTCCAATTGTTTCCACTCATAATGCACTTTATCTAATAAATGTCTTTTAGTTCCTAGAACTCTCATATTTAACATTAAGACTATAATAAGAAAAAAAATACTTACGAGGAGAGCACTATGGCAACAGCATCATTGAGGACACTTTCACCAAAAAGAAGTGCATAGAGTTCGACGTCAACTTGAAGCTCATGAAATATGGCAAGAACAGTCACTAACGATAGAAAGAGTCAGAGGAATATTCAGATATTACAAATATACCCTTATTTTCCTCAATAGATAATTACAAGAGTTATTTAGAAATTCCTTTTTTCCTCTTTGAATTTAATGCTAATAAATATTCTCTTACGTATTATAGATGCTCTAAGAAAGAGCTGAAAATAACCTTAGAGGACTGAGTTGGTCTACCCTCTTCATGCACAATGTTTAAAATCTTGTATATTTCTTTTCCATATAAAAGAATATATTCAGAATTTCTTACAGACCAAGTCATCATTAATCTTTAATGAAGAATATAATGAAAAGCATCTCCTGCTTTTCATCATTTTTTTCTTGGAGCCTTACAACTCACTTCTATTTGACTTGCAAATTGCAAGCACACCGGTTTAGCAAAGACAGTAAGAAATGAAAATAAGGGTTTAGTTTTCAGTTGGAGTAAAATTTATAACCAGAATTACAGCTGCTACATTTGACTTAATGAAAAGCCAACTATCAGGATATTACAGTTTTAGATGAAGAGAAAAATCCTACTTTTAGTAAAGTAAATATATGAGAATTGTTAGAAAATCAGATGAGATTGAAATTGTACCATAACTTTAATTGCTGAGTCATGTACAGCTCTCTAACTAAATAAACCTAAGCACACATGAAAGATTAATCTAACTGGAGATGGGAGAGCTTCTTCAAATGCCAACAGTAAAAACAAGAAATTTGTATGTTAAAAGATACAATTTATATTGCAAAGCATTTCTGCATAAAATCTCCCCTTCTAGCAAGTTAATTCCAAAATAACAGAATTGGGGCATGTGCCTACATAATTCAGAAAAAAATATAAATGTCCAACTTCATCTAAGCAGAAGATTTTTGCTTGAGCCACTCAGGCAATACTCCCACCAAAACAAAACCAGAAGCTTTAAATCACATAGCTAGTTCCATTGACCTAGATTTCTCTTAGGCTCTGAACAGCTGAAGAGCTTGCTTCTACTGAGAGGACACAGAAACCGGGCCTACTGGCTCCCTGCAAAATATATAACAGAAACCGGGACTACTGGCTCCTTGCAAAATATATCTACGTTCATATTAATAATGATAGCTGTTATAAACAATAAGGGAGTAGCATTGGTGGTCTTTAAGGAAGCCATATGATTTCCAGTTTTAAAAAAATGCCCAACTGAAGCCAGCAGGTGGCATGATGATTAAAAGCGCTGAACTCCCATGTGGTTAACCATGGTTTGAGTCTTGGACCTAGTTGCTAATTTTCTCACACACACACCCCTCCCCTGCCCCCGCTATGTCCTTCTCTGGTCAAAATAAAATAAATAAAGTTAAATAAAATAATTCTTTTTTTAAAAAAATGCCCAACTGTACAAATGTCTCTCTAAAATGGCCCTCTGACTGATCTTTTAAAATCACCTCTTACATATTATGAAATTCATTTTTCTCCTTTCCAGAATGCCTTGTATTTTCTGAGTTAACACAGGAATTGAACGATAACCTTAGGATTCTACATTTAACTGTGCTGGATGACAATTAAAGAAGATGGTTAACATACAAGGTCAAATGATAAACCAAGGCCCAGCTGCATTGGCATTAGCAATAGGGTTTTGGTGCATGAGGCTGGGGCCACCTGAGATGCCTGGGTTCAGTTTCTAGACCAATCTAAATAAGCTGGGTGAAATGATATATGCCTGTAATCCTAGCTAACTCAGAGGCTGAGACAGAGGACCATAATGGGAAGAGTCAGCCAAAATTACCTCTTCCCCCACCCCATGCCACACAACCCATTAACCCATTAGAAAAAGTTAGGAGTCAGCAGGTGGTGTAATGGTTAAGGCACTGGACACTCCCATATGGCTGACCATGGTTCAAGTCCCAGACCTGGTGGCTTGCTTTCTTACTTTCTCTCTCTCTCTCATCAAATTAAAATAAATGAATGAATAAATAAAAATTAAATAAATAATTGCTTTTAAAAAAGTTAAAGTATAACAAATCTCTACCAAGGTCCTAAAAGTATGGTAAAAGGAAACTTTCATCCTAAGATCAAAAGCTTCAGTCTAGGGCCAGCAGGTGGCATAGTAGTTAAGGGCACTAGACTTCCACATGGCCGACCATGGTTCGAGTCCCAGACTTGGCAGCTTACTTTCTCACTTTCTCCCTCTCTCCCTCTCTCTCTGTCCCTCCCTGGTAAAAATAAAGTAATTAGTTGAAAAATAAATAAAGTTAAATAAGAATAATTCTTAAAAAAAATTCCAACTTCAGTCTATGTTCCTATCTGACCTTTTCATCCTACATTTTCTCCAAATTCCTTATTTGAATATGGCTATTAGGCTTACCAATACTATCTTATTTTTCAACTAAAACCTAACTCAGTGAAGTGGAATTCATTCTATAACACAACATTTTGGAGAATCTGACACTAAAGGCACAGGGGGGCAAGCCGTGTTAATATCAAAATAATTTCACAAACAGAAGGGCAATTTTTTAAAATAATCATTAAATATATATTAAAGACCACCAATGATCCAAAATCATATGTGTATTAGCACAGCTACCATCTAACAATCATAAGTTTGAAAGGAAGTGTATCATGATTACCCAATTAAACTAATCTATAATCTAGTTCTTTTTCTATACCTAATCACTGGAGATAGAAACCAACATGAATTTCTGAAGAAAATACCTTATAGCCCTTATCTAAACAGCATCAATCTGTGGACCAGTAATAGGTGAATATAATAAAAAAGAAATAATAATAATAAAAAGTGTTTGCTTAAGCCAAAAGGAATCATGCATTTTGTTTTTCCCTCCACAACTGGGAAGTATAATAGTAGGGAAGTACCTAATGAATTCTATGCCTTGAAGAAAGAAATACTCACATGTGCTTTGACTGCAAAACACTGTCCCTTCTGCTCTTAAGCTCCACACACAGAAAACATACCTGGATCAGTTGCTGATACAATGGCGCCAAATAGCAAGCAATCAGTAAAGTAGAAATCCCCTGCAAGTTGTCCAGTTACTTTCATCAGTGTTACACAGCCATACATTATTGACCTGTTCAATAAACACATTTCTACTTTAGGAAAAAGAAATCAACTGTTAAAGAAGTTAAAGCAAGAAGAAGATGATGAAACTATGGGACCAGTAGTTAGCATAATGGCTATGTCGCTGGACTCCCATGCAGTCGACCGCGGTTCAAGTCCCGGACCCAGTGGCTTAAACTCACACCAGGCGTGTGTGCGTGCGTGCCCAAGATCCCGAGAGGAGAATGGAGGAGAAGGGATTGCGGCGTGACCATCCCCCCTGGGGGGTGATTTCTCGCTTTCTGTCTCTGTCTCTGTCTGTCTGTCTGGCGAGCGCACACACCCAATAGCAAAAAAAATCTCTCGCAAAAAAAAAAAATGGATCTACTCAGGATTTTGTGACTAATTCCAAATTTAATTCTTTTCATTTAAACAGGGTAATACCTTGATCTTAAGGAAAATTCAAGTAACTTACTGCATTTTACTACAAAAGACCTTAGACTCACTCAGTAATACAATACCAAATACATAAAAAATGTATTATTTTTAAATTATACTGTGAAGGGTAAAAGGTATTTTAAGCCTCAAATACTTACCCAATGACAAAACAAGAAATTGCTGTCCCAAGAAAAGCATATGCTAGGATAGACCCAAGGTTTCGAAAGAAATGTCTCTGATGAACAAAAGAAAAAGTTACTCAGTGTTAGAATTTGTATGACTCATTCGAAAAAGAAAAGATTTTCTATTCTAGTGAACTATGCTAACATTAAATGCATCATTCACTAGAAGAAATAAGTAAGAGAAAGCATACTTGCACAGGCACACATTTTGGCATTTAAAAAGGATAAAAAAAGGGGGCCGGCAGTTAGTGTGATGGTTAAGGTGCTAGACTCCCACGTGGCCAACTGCGATTCAAGTCGTGGACCCAGTGGCTTGAAAATCATGCCAAGCATGTGTTCTTGTGTGCCCAAAATCTCGAGAGAAGAATGGAGGAGATTGTGACATGGCTACCCGCCAGAGAGTAATTTCTCACTTTTCCCTCTCTTTGACTCCCTCTGTCTCTCTCCAGCAAGCAGACATGCCCTATGGCAAAATCCTAAAAATAACAATAAAATAAAATAACCTCTAGAAGGTGTTTCAATTAAAGAAAAAAATATAAAGTAAAAAGAGAAAAGAAGGGAGGGAAATCTGGAAATAACCACCTGTTTCTGAAGTGTCAACTACTATACAGCTCAGGGAGCTTAAGGCCGTTCAAAGTATATGAAAAACAAGAGCACTTACCCTTTTCAAACTGTAACCTGCATAAAATATGATAGGAGGAAGTAATATGTTGAAAAATACTTCTGGATCAATAGTAACCTGTTAAAATAAAGAGTTCTTTTAGATGAATGCCCTTAGAAGACCTCATATGACATAATCAAATAATCAAAAAGAAAAATGATGACATGATAAACTGGTCAAAAGCAAAAACATTACTGTGGTAACTTACAAGTATTTCATATAGGATAGTTGTTGTTCTACTTCTCAACCAAATGACAAGGAGATAGTGTTGGAATAGTCATTAAGCCATATCTATGGAAGGTGTGTTAAAATATCAGTGCCATCATGTTTAAAAGCAGGCTGGCTCCATTGTCTAATCATTAAGGGGGCCAGACCCACATGGCCGACCATACAGTTTGATTCCCAAACCCAATGGCTGAAAACCATTCTGGGAGCATATGTTCATGCACCCAAAATCTCAGCAGGATGGAGAAAAAAGGAATCTCAGCATGAGCATGCCCCTTGGTAGTGCTTTCTCCTTCTGTCTCTCCAACTCTCTCTGGCAAGCACACATGCCCTCTGGCAAATTGGAAGAAAAAATAGGAGAAAGCAAGAACATACTTTTAAATAAAAGGGCCAAAACTAGTGACATCAATTTTTGGACACAGCATTATTTTTACAAAAGCAAACAAACTTCTTACATAGGAACCATCTCTAAAGTGCATAATATTGTAGTAAAATGTTGCTGTACAATTCAGATTTCTAGTTCTGGCAGCCCACTCATTTTAAGACTTACTCATTATGATAATGCAGACGCCCCCTTCTGTTCATAGGGCTACAGTAGAAGTTGATATAAACTCAAAGCAGCTACATGCATGCCCAAGCTAAAAGCTTCACTTCCTAGAACATCTAAGAAACTGGAATTTTCCACAAGTAGAAAGAAGTCTTGCTGCAAAGCAAACTTTAAATTCATATGAAATTTTAAAAGTATTCAAGATGGTCAGGAACACCACGGAGAAAACTATAATAGTCAACTCCCGCCTGTGTAGTAGACAGGAAAAGTAGAGGCAAACAGCCACAGGTGGGTGAAAACAGAAATAGGAGCAAAGTAGTGCTGAAAAGCTTCTTGAAAGTAGTGCTGAAAAGCTTCTGGAGAAAAACTACGGGGGGACAGAAGAAACAGCTCCAGGAATGTCTGGGAGCCGGCAGGACTACAACCCAACCTCCCACATGAAGCTTTATGTACGGTATGGTACAATAAGACTCATGCTAAGGCCCCTGAAGTTGAGCAAGATTATGAATCAAAGAAAGATTAAGTTATGTCTAGTGTAGAATACAATGAGGGTAAGAAAGAATCCGGAGGAATATTAGTGGAATATTCTAAATAGTATTGAAGAAACCCAATGTGCTGAAGTACTATAAAACTATAAGAACCTCCTACAGAAAGAAAGAAATGCTTATAAATTCTGCTTAACTCAAACTCAGCCACCATTTATTACAATAATTGCAAACAACGCACAGTGAAACAGAAAGGGTTACAGTACTTAGCCGCAACCAGAAAATGAGATATACAAACAGATTCATTTCCTTACATTACATTTGTTAACTGAGGTTTTACCCCATTTTAAGAGACTAATTTGAAATAATTATATTGCCAGAAGGTGTGTGTGCTGGCCATAGACATACATACAGAGAGAAAAAGAAAGACGGAGAGAGAAAATAACGCCCTGCCACTGCGGGCATGGGCACGCTGCAATCCCTTTTCCTCCATTTCTCTATTCTGTTAGGATTCTGGGCAAGCATGCTCATGTGCCAGCATGCTGTTCCTCAAGCTACCAGGGCCAGGACTTGAACTGTCCTTGGCCATGTGAGATCTAGCTTTCCATGCACAGGGCTTAACTGCTATGTTATGGGGCTGGCTCTTAGGTTAATTATTTTAAAATCATTTAAAATTCCTTGTTTTTGTTCTAAATCGTTTTGTTGCTAGTTACACACTTTTTTTAAAAAAATCAAAGATTCTCTTTAACTAAGAACTTACCTTTCGAAGCATTTCATTATCTTGAACGTTATTGAGTTCATGTGAACTAATCTCTCCTTTCAGCGTATACTCGTAAAATTTTCCACTAACGTTTACCAATAAGGTAGTTGGACTTGATGGCACTCCACAGCTCAGGGTTACGTTATTTACGTCACTTGGAACATGAATGCCATACCGAAGCACAAGGCCCACCAAAAGACCTATAAATAAAAGAACAACATAAGCACTTCTTTTAAACAGAGATCACTTCTTTTGTAGCCCACACATATGTCTGGCTTGATGACAGAAAATCCCTTAGTCACTTGTAGTTCAGAACCTGTTTTTAGACTGAATGCAGTTACATTCTGAAGAATTACTAAATCCAAATGTCCAAGAGCAAACATCATATAATCCAGTAGAACACAGGAGAGAAAAATATTCCCTAGGCTAACAGCACAGATCACTATATTACAAGAGCAATATAATAAGTGGTAAGAAGGCTTTAAAAATGAGAAAAATACCTTCTAATCATCTGTACACAGAATATACTCTAAAGGATCCCAACCCAACAGCACAATCATGTTAGAAACGTGTTTTCCTGGGCCAGCAGGTGGCATGGTGGTTAAAGCACTGGACTCCCACATAGGTGACCATGATATGAGTCGCACACCTGGTGGCCTGAAAAATCACACCAGGTATGTATGTGCATGTATGCCCAAAATTCCAGGAGGAGAATGGAGAAGGAATTCTGGCATGGCCATTCCCCAGAGGGTTGTTTCTCACTTTCCCGCTCTCTGATAAGCATATGCACCCTGTAGCAATATATATATATATTTTTTTTTTTCCACCTCTGCCCATCAATTACACTTCCCAAGTTTATTCCCAAAGCACATGGCAGGTCAAATAATACACATTTAACAAATTGAAAAGTCAGTAATATTTGTAGATTGGCTGAGTTTTTCTACTAACAGGTCAGATTTGAATATTAAAATATCTGTTTAAAAATCAAAGCATGGAATAGAAATCCTGAATCAGATGCTATAAGATCAACATACTGTCAGGATCTTGTCTGGATCGTTCTACTGCTATTCAGATGTGCACAATGTTCTAGGTACTATAAAACTATACTGATAAAGGGGCCAGTAGATGGTGTGGTAGTTAAGGTCCTGGACTCCCTCATGGCTGACCACAGTTCAGGTCCTGGACCTGGCGGCTTGCTTTCTCACTCACTTTGCCTCTCCCTCCCTCTCTCTCTCTGTCTCTCTCTGACGAGCACATGTACCCTGTAGCAAATTTAAGAATAATGATAATGACAAATAAAATTAAATAAATAATGGGACCACCAGTTGGCATAATAGCTATGTTGCTAGACTCCCATGTAGTCGACCACGGTTTGAGCCCTGGACCCAGTGGCTTAAATTCACGCTGGGTGCGTGTCCATGTGTGCCCAAGATCCTGAGAGGAGAATGAAGGAGAAGGGATTGTGGCATGGCCATACCCTCCTGGGGGTTGATTTCTCGCTTTCTGTCTCTCTGCATCTGTCTGTCTTTCTGGCGAGCACACGTGCCGTATAGCAAAAACCTCGCCAAAAATTTTTTTTAATTAAACAAATAATTATATTTTAAAAAACAATATTAGTCAACTACAGTCATTTCATAATGGTTTTATTGAGCTCAAATTCACATATCATAAAACTTATCCTTTTAGATTATAATTCAGTGGTCTGTAGTATATTCACAAAGCTGTCTATCAAT